AGTGACATCCCCCCCACCCGTGGAAGTGACATCCCCCCCACCCGTGGAAGTGACATCCCCCCACCCGTGGAAGTGACATCCCCCCCACCCGTGGAAGTGACATCCCCCCCACCCGTGGAAGTGACATCCCCCCCACCCGTGGAAGTGACATCCCCCCCACCCGTGGAAGTGACATCCCCCCCACCCGTGGAAGTGACATCCCCCCCACCCGTGGAAGTGACATCCCCCCACCCGTGGAAGTGACATCCCCCCCACCCGTGGAAGTGACATCCCCCCCACCCGTGGAAGTGACATCCCCCCCACCCGTGGAAGTGACATCCCCCCCACCCCCACCCGTGGAAGTGACGCAGCACTCCGGCCACACACTTCACCAGCTGTCTTTACCAATCTAATCTTGAGGAAAGCACCGCCGGTTGTACATAATGGCGAGTCCCTCGTGTGTTTGAATGGCATGTTGACCTTTGCAGAGCTTGTTCCCACGCCCGTGTCCTGCCCTGCCCTGCCTCCCCTCTCTTCCCATCAATTCCCACCCTCATCGCCTCCCCTCAGATTTCGCCTTTTGAAGTGCTAGAATGACTTGGGATTTCTCTTCCAGTTAGAGTTTATAGTTTGGCACCTCTCTTCCTCCCTGGCACCTCTCTTCCTCCCTGGCACCTCCACGAGTGGCCAGGTTTAGTGAGGAGCACTGCAGATAAATGCTATAAAAAAACCGACACGATGAAAAAAATGCACAGATGCAGTATAATGTGATCCTTTTATTGGCTACGTTTCGCCCGCACAGTGGGCTTTGTCAAGCTTGAAGAAGACCACTGTTTGGGCGAAACGTAGTCATAAAGGATCGAATCGTACTGTATTTGTCGATTTATCCATGGAGTTCGAGGGGTGCTTGAGAAGAGGGAAGTGGCTATGTAATGAAGGGAGAGTGGAGCGTTACAAGGCAGGTACCTGGAGTCTACCTGGAGGGTAGGTAAGGTAGTGAGACTGCAGCAGAGACCACACTGATGCAAGTTTGGAAGTTGAAAGTAGCGGAAGAGTAGATAGAACACTATCAAGCCAGATGTAAGCTGGGGAAACTTCAAAGGTGGGAGCTGTAAGCCACCATTTGCAGACCTTTGCAAAACCTTTCTTAGCCAAAGGTGTATATATTTGTATATAAATACAGCGAGTTTATATTCATCCTTATACTGCGGATTATTTTTGACAGATGAAGGACTGGTGTCAGACAATTTTTAATGACCCTTGTTTAGTTGATAAGCGTTAAGTAATGTAACTCCACGAGGGAGCATGTGTACCATGAGCCTCAGACTAACCTTTGCGTAGCATTCTTGCAACGCATTTGTTGCTGACCTCTTGGCCAGTGCCATGTTGTTGGGTACTGGAGACGGCACCACCAGCTGATCTCAGTCTGAGGGTATGTTTCCCAGAGCAGACTTGTGTAACGTTACAAATGCATCTCTCGCCTCTTTTTAAGTGTTGCATGCAAATTATTTTTGCCAGATGTTCTTTGACGATGACTCTTGTGGTTCTTTACCCTCCTCCTGTATTCCCTAATTCTTCTTCCTCCACATTCTTCACCCTCCTTTCCACCCCAAAATTCATCCTCCCTCTCGTGCGCCAGGACGTGGCTCGGTTGTACGTTTTACTGTTAAATTATAATTTGTTAATGGGCAACTGCTATATAAGATAGTCACACAGAGGGAACAGAAGCTAGCTATATTTTCCTGGTGTTAAACTGGTGTACAAGAAGGACAGGGTCCACAACCCTAGGACTTATAAGCTAAATAATGTAGAACTTAGCCATACAGACTGCGAAAAGGACTTGGGGGTTATGATAAGCAGCAACCTTAAACCAAGACAGCAATGCCTAAGCATACGTAATAAGGCAAACAGATTACTGGGGTTTATATCAAGAAAGTGTGAGAGTGGGTTGTTAACACAGGGGTCAGAGCTCTTAAAATATTACCTTAGTGATGGCCATAATAGCTAAGATAAGATGTTTCTTCTCGTGGGTAAGGGATGGGGAAGGAGAGGCAGATTTATTTGGCGGCGGTGGTGAGAGAAGGATGTTACCCTCAGCAGAGTTAACTGATTTAATTAGGTATTGCACTTAGCAAATATAACTTGCATGCCTTACCCCTGATACGACATTGTAATGTATATTTTAATAGTCTTGTATTTGTGGTAAATGTTGCTTATATAGCCATAAAGTTAAGCTTCTGAGGTTGTAGACATGTCCAGGAAAACACGGGAGAGGAAGGAAAGGAGTCGTGTAAGTTGATTCACAGCTCGAAACAGAGGAAAATATTAGTACAAATAACAGAAGACAGGATGGATGGAGGTGGTATGTGGTGTTGCTGGGTGTTTGGGCACATCGCGTGCCTCTCATTGCCATTGTTGCCTCGTTAAGTGTTTTTTGTTAGTGCTAAAGATGGCAGGGGAGGTTTTTGTGCCGGCCAGGCATTAGTGTGCCTACTGGAGACTTAGTAAGGGAAGAGGGGATGGCAGGGAGGGGACTTGAGGAAGGGGAGGAAGACTTGTGCCTACATGGGGAGGAGATGGAAAAAAATATTTACCACGTTCCCAGCACGTCTCTTGACGCAGCCCACAAACTTTAACCAAAAAAGAAAGTCTGTTTTAATTTAGGTTAGATACAAACCTGTGAAAACAGTGTTTAGCCACACACAGATTAAGAAACAGCAACTATACGTCTGGTAGCGAGGAGGATTAAAATAGCCCGGAAACGTTGAAATCTTTTAAGATTATCACAGGTGGTGCGAGAATGAACTGAAGGGAGAGGGGGAGTGGAGAGGCATGGAAATGTGCCTTCAGGAAAGAGGGGAAAGTGTGCAGAACCTAGAGTGGCCATCTGGTAATCTGGTAAGTTTTTTTTTTTTTTTTATTTAGCCAGATTGGCTAAATCGGCGGTGTGCTGCCTATATCATACTTAAACAGTGGGAACAAAAGCTCATTATATTTCGCTATTATATTCCATCACAGGATGGTTTATATAGTTGAGATGAGTCAGCCTGAGCAGAGGGAGACCTTGGTAAAACGATGATGCTGTCTACAAATACAGTATTCGATTGAAGGTTAAAAACGGTAACTTTACTTTTGAGTTGCGAGAGTTTTGTTACTTGCGCAGCCCGGTCTTAGACGAGGTTCGTCTGGTGCTTGCCTGGTCAGTCATGTAGCTTAAGACAGATGCAAGTTACCCTGTCTTCTAATAATAATTGTCCTCAAATATTTGTTAAGTTATACCATGAATTAAGGACAGATCCTGGACTTCACATTATGAAACAAAGCAAATTATAATGGTAGATTATAGTGGAAAAATGAACATGTTATTAGAAGACTGAGGAATTTGTCCCTTCAGGGTTTCCTTCCAGCAGAACTGGAGTTACTATTACGTGAAGGAGGATAAGTGAATACAGGAAGTGAGGGAAGGAACCTGCGTTTATTTACATTTTAAAACACTTTCTCAATTTAAGCATCATCTAATGTATATCTTCATAACTTAAATATATATATATCCCTCGTGTGTATTAATGAGCGGAGATAACACCGTGGATGTTAACGATAATTAACCTTCTAGTTGAGACTCGTTTAATGAGTAGACTAGGAGTGGCGAGTGTAAATTGTATGGAGAAGCGCAGTTAATTGATCTTGTAATAAGTTAGATTGTTAGTTACTAAGTAAGATGGTGGCTTGTTAAACACGGTCACCATTTTCTTACTTTCTGTCTCAGTATATTCTGCTTTGTTTTTTACTCTTTCTATATAAAAAAAACCGTTACGTACAGGTTTACTGAGGCTGAACGACACCTGTATATGTTTATTTTTTGAAGAATTAAGACTCGTAACATATGGGAATCTTATTGAAGAACATTTCTTCAGTGAAGATTCCCAGATGTTGCACAAGTGTCATAACTCTTCAACTTTGTCGGTTTTCAAAACTGTTCATCACATGATTATTTTTGTAAGTCTTCGAACTAGCCTGCGGAGGTATGTACATCTTCATCAGATTGTTATATTAAGATGTAGGAAACAATATTCAGTGTTTAGCGAGGGGGGAGCCTTGTTATTGAGCATTTAGGGTAGGGGTAAGGGACTAGGACTGATTATTATCGTTGAGGTAGAGGGACAGGGGGCTGCTATTAAATCTTAAGGGTCGAGGAAGATAGAGAGGGAGCTGGAAAAAAACATTGGTAGGAAGGAAAAGTTTTCAGCTTGTAATACCAGGTGTTATAGGGAGTTGTATGGCTTGATGAACAGTGTCTTCCTGGACCACACTTATTAAATACCTCTCGCTTTATGACCCACTTGGGTTAAATGCCCTTTTCGTATAAAACATTGTGGAAGATGGAAGAACACTGTAGCAGGCTGTCTGATATATATTTTATATACGTGTGTAATATTATATTTTGTTTCTTGCTAAACTAGGCTTTCCTCTCATTTTCCCTGCTCTTTCTCTCCATTCCTGGTTTACATTCCCTGCCTCCCTCTCTCTGTCTCTCTCTCTGTCTCTCTCTCTGTCTCTCTCTCTGTCTCTCTCTCTGTCTGTCTCTCTGTCTCTCTGTCTCTCTCTCTCTCTCTCTCTCTCTCTCTCTCTCTCTCTCTCTCTCTCTCTCTCTCTCTGTCTGTCTGTCTGTCTGTCTCTCTGTCTGTCTCTGTCTCTCTCTCTCTCTGTCTCTGTCTCTCTATCTCTCTGTCTCTCTGTCTCTCTCTGTCTCTCTGTCTCTCTCTGTCTCTCTCTCTGTCTCTGTCTCTCTCTCTGTCTCTGTCTCTGTCTCTCTCTGTCTCTCTGTCTGTCTGTCTCTCTCTGTCTGTCTGTCTCTCTCTGTCTCTCTCTGTCTCTCTGTCTCTCTCTCTGTCTCTCTCTCTCTCCTCATAACGAGGAAGAACACAGCTCTTTGCAGCAATTGTTTAATAAAAATATAACTGAGGCATTTTCCTTGGCGTTTCCTTTGCACACTTAACACTGTCTCTCTCTCGCCTTGACAGATGCTGCACCACAGTTGGTGATGGTGCGTGGAGGATCCACGGGGCTGGCATGGCTGGCCGCTGTAGTGGCACCCTTCCAGCGAGCACCGGCCCTGCCTTGGCCAATACTGGCACTGGCGGCCTTGCTACTTGCGGTGCCACGGGTCGCAGCCCTAACCACCGCTTCCTTCATCAGCGAACACGCACCCAGGAGCGTCACTCTACCAGGTATGCCACTCATTAACATGGGCATGATCCTGGACCACAATTTTCTGAACAGGTTCAGGTTTTGCAAGATTTTTGTACAATGGTTGAGCAAGATATGCCAACACTTGAGCATATTTATGGCGGAGATATTTCGCCATCCAGTGCCTTTATCCATCATGTAGAGAGATTAGACTGGTGAGACGTCTCCGAGTACTGCGCATGTCTTGTTCGTGTAGTTTTTGTAGGCCATTAATATGTAAATATATAGACTACTTAGTACAGTGTGAGTGCTGTTGAATCAACTACTCAAAATTTTGGTAAATTCTCGTTCATACAGTGTTAGGAGAGCTGCAGAAGCAGTATCATAGCAGCAGCAGCAGCAGCAGCAGCACCGCCAGTATCTCATCATGGGAGTGTTTGGTGAAGCTAGCTTAATGGCATGAAGGCAGAATACTAAAATAGATATGTATACATTAGTAGGAAATGAATGTTTAATGAAGTATTAACGAGGCACACAGTGAGAGGAACTGTGGACAAGTGCACACACAAAGTTATACACACTGTGGCAGCTAAAGGTGAAAGCTCTGCAAAAAAATGTTAAACTAAACCGTTTGGGTGATTGTGTTGTGGAGGGAGGTGATGAGAACACTGGGGGCCGTGACCTGGCTTGACCTGACCTTGGTGTGGTGCTGGAGTATGAGGAATGGCAGTGGTTGAGAGAGGGGGTGGAATGGCAGTGGGGAGAGGTGATAGTGGCTCTTGCCGTAAAGAGAAATTCCGGAAAGAGGTTTGTGAATATGTTTGAGGAGGACTGGGGATCAGAGGATGGAAGGTGGGTTCGTGTGTGCTTATGCAGAACACTGGTGAGAATAATGGTAGGGAGAGTAAGACCTTCCTAACATGGAACAGTAGGACCACTACCATACTACTCCAGTTTTATGTTCTTATAAGTAGAAAATAATTGGTGGACTTTCATATGTTTAGCTGGGGAGAACCTTTGTATCACCGTGTAAACTGGTCAAGAGGTTGAATATGACAAGGTTTAACTGTATACCATTCATAGAAGGACCTTTAGGGTTAAGACATTCAATCACACAATTTTGAGAATTTTGGTTCACCCACTAAGGGTGTTAATAGTACTAGGATTAATAATCCTTAGTGGGGGAAAAAAGGTTTCCCCAGAGTGTTGCACGTCTTGACCACAGTTTGTTGGTATTGATATACCTCGTACTTCAATATTAAGTCTTGGTGAAAGCCGCAGACCCGTTTGATTATGGTGCAAGAGCGAATACTACAAAATAACTGGCAGAGTACTTTGGCCACAGGGATCTTCATTTTTCCCAAGGAATCGAAATCGCCCACCAACACAACCAAAGCCGCCGCCACCACGCCACCCTTTTGCGGGTTTGTTAATGTCATTGTTGCCAGACAAATTGCAGTGACAAAGGCTTGTTACACCAGAGAGCAACAGTGTATATATGCAAGACGAGTCATGCTGAACACAGCAGGTGGACGGTAGTGAAAGCAACACGGGTGAACACAAAGAACAAAATGAACAGTGTGAAAGTGAAATCAGGTGAACACAGGTGAAAATGTGTGGAACGTTATCTTCAGAGTGACGTGTTGAACATGTTACCAGGAAATTAGATTGTAAAGTAAGACTTGTGTGCAACAGTTAGGCATCTTTATTCCGAAATGTTTCGCCTACACAGTAGGCTTCAGTCAGAGGGATCATGTGTAGTAGTGAAATGATAATGTAATCAGTCCATCAACCTTGGAGAAATGTTATTTGAGGTGGTCAGTCCCACAGTCTGGAGAAGAGGTCAGCTCCATGGTCTGGAATAATATGAAGCTGAAGCATGAGAATGGAGTATTAAAGACTGTTTTCCAGTGGGCAACGGTAAACAATATGATGTTCAATGAGGACAAATTCCAAAACTGGAGGAGATAATAACTAGAACAGAGTATACTACAGACTCTGGCCATACAATAGAGCGGAAAACTAATGTAAGGGACCTGGGAGTAGTAATGTCTGAGGATCTCACTTTCAAGGATCACAACAGTGCCACGATCGCACGTGCAAAGAAAATGATAGGATGGATAATGAGAACGTTCAAAATGAGAGATGCCAAGCCAATGATGATCCTTTTCAAATCACTTGTTCTCTCTAGGCTGGAATACTGCTGTACATTAACATCTCCATTCAAAGCAGGTGAAATCGCAGATCTAGAGAGTGTACAGAGATCCTTTACTGCACGTATAAGTTCTATCAAGCACCTTAACTACTGGGAACGCTTGGAAGCACTTGACTTGTACTCGTTGGAACGCAGGAGGGAGAGATATATCATAATCTACACTTGGAAAATCTTGGAAGGAATGGTCCCAAATCTGCACACACAAATCACTCCCTACGAAAGTAAAAGACTGGGCAGGCGATGCAAAATGCCCCCAATAAAAAGTAGGGGCGCCATTGGTACACTAAGGGAAAACGCCATAAGTGTCCGGGGCCCAAGACTGTTCAACAGCCTCCCATCAAGCATTAGGGGAATTGCCAATAAACCCCTGGCTGCCTTCATGAGAGAGCTGGACAGATACCTAAAGTCAGTGCCGGATCAGCCGGGCTGTGGCTCGTACGTTGGACTGCGTGCGGCCAGCAGTAACAGCCTGGTTGATCAGGCCCTGATCCATCGGGAGGCCTGGTCATGGACCGGGCCGCGGGGGCGTTGATCCCCGGAATAACCTCCAGGTAAGGTGGGGTAGACACACCACAACTCGGCGCTTTTCCTTCATACACAAGGATGATTACCGACAGACTCCTGGCTGTAGTAAAGAGCTAACTTGACATTCCTCAAATCAGTTCTTGATCAGCCGGGTTGTGGTGCATACGTTGGACTTAGGCGGCGGGCACTAACAGCTTGATTGACCAACCAGGTGGTCTGGTCTAGGACCGGTCCGTGGGGGCGCTGATATACGAGAGAACTGTAGGTAACCAACAAGTAGGGTCTCGTAATCTTTCCTCGGTTTTCTCTCCTCCCCTGTTTTCTCTTCTTTCTCCTTTCATCTTTACCCTTCTGGGAGAGGTTCTTGATGCTGGTGAGAGGCTCTTGATCCAAAAAATTGGATTTCTCTCCCCCTTCCTTTGATACAAACTGTCTTTCATTCCCCAGGCACTGTTCCCCAAATACAATAATTGTCCTTTCTTCCCTTCACTTCTTTCTCCTTGCCTTTTCTCCTGTTCGCTCTCTTCATTTTTTCCTTCTTCCTTCTTGCCTTCTTACCCTTTCCTTCCATCATTAGCCTCGTCACATACGTTAACTCTCAAGCTTCACTTGGGTCAGCTTAAGCACTGTTAACATAAACAAAGGTTATATAATACAGGGAGGTAACTCAGGAGGTACAGCAAGAAAAAAGGTTGAAGGGGGAGTGGTAAGGAAGGGAAAGGGGGCTGGGGATGGAGTGGGATTTACCTCTGAAACTATTGCTTTCACTGTGTAAATATTTGAAGGTGGCGTCTCTCTCACACCGCAGCTGTTTACAGCTTTGGCCATTGTTTACCGTTCCAGGATTAGATCATTTACACTTGTTTACAGTGTGAAGCGGAGGTGGGAGTCTGGCTAACCTCCTGGCCTAAATTACCCATCCTCCTGTATACAACAGAACCTTTTTTGTTTTGTAAAGGACAACGGGGGCGGTTTTGTACATTTTCAGGGTACGGAAGAGTTTGGCAGTTTATGGTAGTCTGCCACGGCAGTGGTGGGTGCATGGTTGGTTGGTTGTTTACAAACACCAGGCAAGCCTGGCTCAAGGCCGGGCTCAGGAAAACTCGCAAAACAGGTCAGAGGTAAACATAGGGAGCTTCTGCAGCAGCGCCAAGTAGACGCAGCGATAATGGATGTTTATATAGGCATCATACATAATTTTAAACTTTGTTATATGTAGTAAATTATATTGAATCTAAGATAACGTATGTAAAACATGACTGTTTTATTAAGTTGTTTCACAAAAATATTTCAAATATATTTTATACGAATGTCAAAAACAAATTTTATAAGAATTTTGTGAAAAATAAAAACTACAAAAATGGAATCACTCCATAGCCTGGGAGACGTAAAAATGTGGGGTACACATAGCCTGGGAGACGTAAAAATGTGGGGTACACATAGCCTGGGAGACGTAAAAATGTGGGGTACACATAGCCTGGGAGACGTAAAAATGTGGGGTACACATAGCCTGGGAGACGTAAAAATGTGGGGTACACATAGCCTGGGAGACGTAAAAATGTGGGGTACACATAGCCTGGGAGACGTAAAAATGTGGGGTACACATAGCCTGGGAGACGTAAAAATGTGGGGTACACATAGCCTGGGAGACGTAAAAATGTGGGGTACACATAGCCTGGGAGACGTAAAAATGTGGGGTACACATAGCCTGGGAGACGTAAAAATGTGGGGTACACATAGCCTGGGAGACGTAAAAATATGGGGTACACATAGCCTGGGAGACGTAAAAATGTGGGGTACACATAGCCTGGGAGACGTAAAAATGTGGGGTACCCATAACCTGGGAGACGTAAAAATGGTTCAGAGGAGAAATCGCAAACTTTCTCCTTGAGGCTGTTTGGATATTCTACCTGAGAATACTAGTATACAGTGTAAAAAGCTGGGTACGCCAAGGCACACTCATGGCACCACTCTTCTTTGTAATATACCACAGCTTTGTAGATATAAAATTTAGCATGGAAGTCACCCCTAGAGGACATCGGAAAAACTGGAGTTGCTCAGATATGGGGGAGTGAGGAACTAGAAAGGAGAACACACAATATAGTGTCGTTCCGTAGAATGGAAAGATGTAAACATTGAATTGTCTTTTGAAAAATACAGTAAGGAAAATTTACTGTGGTGACAGTGCCACTCAGAGCCAGAAAAAAATACAACGAGCATTTGCCAATACCTTTGATACTTTTGAGAAGTTCAGAGAGTTTTTTTTACTTACAAACTATTGGGAACGCCTCAAAGAAATGG